GACGTGGTGCAGTGATAACAACATCTCTCTTAATGTTGGCAAAACTAAAGATCTGATCATTGACATCAGAAAAAAGGAGGAGAACACACCCCCTTCTACATTGACAGACCACAGGTTGAGAGGGTTGACAGCGTCAAGTTCCTAGGAGTGACAATAACCGACAACCTGTCCTGAACTTCCCACGTAGATGCGATGGTCAAGAAGGCACAACACCTCTTCTTCCTCAAGAGGCTCAGGAAATTTGGCATTTCTACAAGGACCCTCACCAACTTTTACAGATGCACCATAGAAAGCATACTGTCCAGGTGCCTAATGGCCTGCTATGGCAACTGCTCTGTCCAGGAAGATAAGAAACTACAGAAGATTGTGTGCACAGCCTAGACCATCACAGACGCCAACCTCCCATCCATGGAACAAAAACAAAGTTGCTGGAAAAGCCCAGCAGGTCTGGCACCATCTGTGAAGGAAAAACCAGAGTTAACGTTTTGGGTCCGGTGACCCTTCCTCAGAACCCTCCCATCCATGGACTCTGTTTACACCTCTTGTTGCTGCGGAAAGGCTGCCAACATCATCAAAGACCCATCGCACCCCAGTAATGCTGTCCTACAACCTGTTCCATCAGGTAGGGGATACAGAAACTTGAACACATGCACCAGCATGTTCAAGAACAGCTTCTTTCCCTGCTATTATTAGACTCATGGACTCTCTAATTTCAAATAATGTTGATCTTGTTAATGTTGTTCTTGCCTCGCGCATTCCTGCACGGTGTAACGTATAAGGCTCTCACTGTCCAAGATCTTTTCACCTGTGAACTATATGTCTGTGCTTACTATGATCTGCCTGTACTGCTTGCAAACAAAGCTTTTCACTGTACTTAGCTACATGTGAGAATAAATCAAATTAATCAAATCAAACAGAATGATCCTGCTGCCACTGGCCCCAAAATGCTGGATGGGCAACCTTGTTGCTGCTGTCACCAGCCCCAAATGCCAGGAGAACGACCCCGCTGCCACCGGCCCTGAACGGCAGGAGTACGACCACACTGCCGCTGCCTCCTATCACCAGGAGAAGCCACGGCTGCCACTCCGCATGCGGCTCGCTCTCACTACCACGCCAGTGCTGCCAACCAACCCGCCTTTCTAAAGAAAAAAAAAGAAAAGGAAAATAAAGCGAAAGAAAAGAAGAAAAGCAAAAGTAAAACAAAGAAGGAAAGTGGGTGGGCCCTGGGCAGCCCTGCTACTCTGCCACTATCTTGCACCAAAATGGTCAGAAGTGGGATGTTCATCAATGATTACACAATATTCAGCACCATTTACAACTCCTCAGATACCAAAACAGTCCAAGTTCAAATGCAACTTGGTCTGACAAGTAGCAAGTAACATGCGCCACACAAATGCCAGGTAATGACCACCTCCAACAAGAGACAATCTAACCACAGTCCCTTGAAATTCAATCATGTTACCATCACTGAATCCCCCACTATGAACATCCTTCGGGCTACCACCGACCAGAAACTCAACTGGACTTGCCACATAAACATGGTGGCTACAAGAGCAGGTCAGAGGTTAGGAATACTGCAGCAAGTAACTCACATCCTGACTCTCCGTAGCCTGTCATCTACAAGGCATAAGTCAGGAGTACAATGGAATATTCTCCTCTTGCCTGGATGGGTGCAGCTCCAACAATAGTCAGGAAGCTTGACACAATTCAGGACAAAGCAACCTGTGATTGGCACTACATCCACGTTATCCCAGTTGACCGACTCTCAGCAGCAGCACTGTGTACTCTCTATAAGACGCAGTGTAGAAATTCATCAAAAATCCTGAAACAACACTTTCCAAACCCATGACCACTTCCATCTAGAAGGACCAGGGCAGCAGATAAATGGGAACACCACCACCTGCAAGTTCCACTGCAAGTCACTCATCATCCTGATTTGGAAATATATTGCCAATTCTTCAGTGTCGCTGGGTCAAAATCCTGCAATTTCCTCCCTAAGGGGTCAATCTACAACACCTGGACTGCAGTGTTTCAAAAAGGCCTTCTCAAGGGCAAATAGGGATGGGCAAGCCAGAGACACCCAAATCCCACGAATGAATAAAGAAATTATCATAGTGTACGGATCATGTACCCCTACTAGTAGCTTCTCTGTCTTCTTCTTTTGTATCAGTTCTAGGTTCCCCAAAATATTTATCCTTAGCTATTCCTCTTATTTATCTATATCTTGCCTCTCAACAACATCAGCTGAAGAACAATAAAAAGTACTAGAAAAACACAGCACATCTGGCAGCATCCAGGGACAGAAAAACAAAGATCTGTTATGACTCTTCTAAGAAACTGAAAGGAGCTGAAAATGATGGCTTTCATTTAATGTTGTTGTCAAAGGGAGAGGAGGAATAAGTGGAACAGGTGGTGAGGGTGCCCACAGGAAAAGACAAAAGGAGTGTTAATCATGGTCAAGGTTAACATAGATGCAAAATACGTATTAATGTTAGGTACAAATAGTAGAAAATAGTTTCAGTTTTGCCAAGAGCAAACCCTTTACAAATGTAATCACAAATGGAGCACAGGCGTCATGCTCTTAAGTTGTTGAACTCAGAATTAAGTCCTGAAAGTTGTGAAGTGCCTAAGCAGAAATGAGGTGTTGTTCCTTAGGGAATTGGGCCTCATCAGAATACTACAGCTGGCATAGGATGAACTCATTAGTATGAGAGCAAACTGGACTGATAGAAGTTCAATTAAACTGCTGCTTCACCCCGATGGTGTGTTTGGGGCCTTGGACAGTGAGAAGGGAGAAGGAATAAGGGCAAATGTTAAACCTTCTATGATTGCATGAGTAGGTGTCATGGGCAGTGTTAGGCGTAACAGAGGAGTGGACTTAGTGTCAGGAAGAGATTGATCCCTGCAAAATGCTGACAGTGGAGAAAAAGGGAAAATGTGTTTAGTAGTGCCATCCTGCTGGAGGTAGTGAAAATAGCAGATGATCCTTTGAATGTAGAGGCTGGTGGGGTGGAAACTGAGGACAAGAGGGACCGTATTATTCTGGGAGGGAGGAGAAGTGGGTGAGGGCAGAAATGTGGGAAATGGTTTGGACACAGCTGAGGGCCCTGTCAACCAGAAGTGAAGGGTGTGGGGTTGGGGGAAGAGAGCTAGGAAAAAGGAGGACATGTTGAGAAGAAAATGGCATAAATGGAACAGATACAACGGAGGTGGAGAAACAGGGAGAATAGTACAGAGTCCTTAACACGAAGGAGAGTGTGAGGATGTGTAGTCAAGATAACTGTGGGAGCCAGAGGGTTTGTAGTGTATATTGGTGGACAGCTGATCTGCAGAAATGGAAAGAGACAAGTCAAGGAAAGGAAGAGTCAGAGATTGACCAGGTGAAAGTAAGGGAAGAATGGAAATTGGAAGTAAAATGAACTAATTCTAGATGACAGCAGGAAGCAATATTGTCATCTGTGCTGTTTTCTATTGAGGTCCAGAGTTAATCAGTTTTGATGTGATCAGTGTATCAGATAGAATTGTGGGAGTGGGCCTAAAAAAGACTATTCTATATAACCCATAAAGAGACAGTCATAACTAGGATACACCATTGACTTGGAGAAAATGTGACAAGTTAAAGGAGAAATTGTTACAAGTGATATCGAGCCCAACAGGTGAAGGAAAGTCATGGTGTATGGGTACTATTCAAGTCTCCTTTCAATGAAGAAACATGAAGATACTTCAGACAATCCCAATGGGAGGTGGGCATGTACAGGCTTCATCACCTGTTGGCATGGGGTCACCTTTCACATGATGATACTCAGGTTTCCTTCTCCACTATAATTTTGAAACCCCTTGCTGCCTCTCTACTGTCAAACAACCAAATGACATCGAGTATTTGCTTGGTCACAAATTCCTCCAGAACACTGAAGCTGGCTTCCTCAGCCTTGAGAAAAAATTCTGTTTCCCTACCACAATCTTTGGGAGACCTTAACATTGGCCAAAATTTTATTGGCTGCCAGGAAGTGGGAACAGAGGTTGAAGTGTTGTCAGTAGAATTATGAGGAACCATAATGGAACAGCTCTCCAACAGTGTCCCATGGTTGGGAAATTTTACTGATGACAGCAGCATAATCACATAGTCTGCCCACTCTAAGTAGCTGGGCACCAGTTTATATGAATTACACCCATTGTGACCCTTTTTTATGGAGCTGTGGGCACTTTGATAACTATAATATCAAAACCCAACACATACAGAGGCTGTGGAGCTGGACGAACACAGCAGGCCAGGCAGCACCAGGAAAGTTGACGTTTCAGGTCGGGACCTTCTTCATTTCTGATGCTGCTTGGTCTGCTGTGTTCCTCCAGCTCTACACTGTGTTATCTCTGACTCCAGCATCTGCAGTTCTTGCTATCTCCACATAGAGAATGCCAGTTAAATGGAGGCAGTTTCTCGGTAGCAGCCAGACAAGACTTTTTTTTAAATGCATGAGTGGCAGGGAAGTCTTTGTAGCTTCAGTTTTCCTTATAGGAGGGGCTTCCTCCATTAGCTGCCTACTGATGTTTGTTTTAGATTGTAAGCTTTAGCCTGCAAGGCCCTGCCTCAGACACAACCAACATTCTTGGCAGCTCTCCTGAGCTGTTCACTCTGGGCCGACTGTTCTAGTGAGGTGACTACGAGCAGACGGCCTACAGTAGGACAAGGTGGTAATCTTTTGATTGGCACCGCCGATTACAAAACTAAGGAAGCAGTTCATCTTGTTTCCGTCAGAATCATTCGAAAATGATACTCGAAACATTCTCTCTCCCCTCACGAATGCTGCCAGGCTTGCTGAGCATTTCCAGCATCTATTTGATATCTGAGGTATTTTCATGGACTGAAATGTGCCATCACGAAGTCTTACACGGACAAACTCTTGCTTCCGGGACGTGATTTCCTGCTTGGTCGGTCCTCGGTCCTCCCAGGCCACCAGAGGGCAGAAAACAGGGGCTCGGCGGAGTGAAAGGAGAGGGAATCTCTTGATGAATCGTTCCCTTCTCAGCAGCCGGGGCTGGCGAAAGGCCGGTGCCCCGCTGCGGGGTGAAAGGTGACAATGGCGGCGGCCTTGGTGGATGAAGAGATTAATAATGATGACTTTTACGCGCTTTTGAACGTCAGGAGGGAGGTGAGGGGGGTTTGTTGTTACCGCGCTCCGTTTATATTGTGGCTCATTTAAGTGAAGAACATGTCGCGGGAGGAGGAGATGGCAATATTTTCGTCAGTTGCTGCTTTGTCGTTAGTGACCGCGGGCGCCTTGCGGATTTCAGTTAACGTGCGGCACGGCCTGAAGAGCACCGTGTGGTCCGCGGTGTAGCAGAACAGATAGCCATATGTATATAACACAGGCGGGAATGTTAATGTAAAAGCCTATTTTAGTTATTAATCAGGCTGTTCAATCTATTATAAATAGCTCAATAGCTTATGGACCTTTTCTCTTCTTTTTACCCCCAATTTTCTAACGGTCTGTTTGAAAATTTTACATCTAATCCATTTGATTTGTGGGTGGACGCACAGTTGATTTTGTCCTTGCAAAGGTATGACATAACGAGGCTGGCAACTGTTCAGTGTAAGGACAGTGCAACTTCGGGCTGATTGTCTTTCCGCGGCCATTGCCTCTGGCCACCGAGGCTGAACCAGATTGTGGATAACCTTGATGTCCAGATTGACCTAGAGCTGATCTTGTAACCCTTATCTGCATCTTCACCAAGATCAACTACTTCCAATTCCGTAATATTAGCTAACTCATCTTTTTGATTAAAGCATATGCTGCAGAAACTTTGATACTCAAGCTTCTCCTCCAAACTCGCCAGCCAACTAGCTACCACCCTCGATACATTTGATCTCCCTAAACTCGACAGCCCATCTAACCAAGCCCTGCTTGCTGATCTGTTCTGTGCTTTCTGAACTACATTAGCATCTAATCTGGTAATGCCTCTTCTAAAATTCTCTCCTACTCAAATCCCCTTGAGATTGTTCCTTTTGCTAGCTATGAAACCTTTCCAACTCTACAAACCACCAAGATCTCTGCCTTCTTCCAATTTTGGTCTCGTATGTAACACAATGTTAATTGCTCCATCATTGGCAGCCAGACCTGCAGTTGCCAATGTGTCCCATTTATTATTGAAGTGCATTATAATTTTTTGATTGGAAGGGATACTAGTGAAATTGGTACCATGCCTGAAGAATTTGTCCTTTAACCTTTTTGACTTCCTAGCATCATTGACTCTCTTCTATCTGACAGCTGCACACATCTAGTGTGAAATTATTTTGGGTGGAGTGCAGCCCAGTTTCAAGTGGATATGAAGCTAAAGCTGTACCTGTAAAGAGACCATTTTGGGATGTGCTTCACTTCATCAAAGTATTGAGGTTTCAATTTTGTTGCTGATAATGACATAATTATTGTACAAAAAGTCTGTTGTTAATGTGCACAATAAATAAATAGTCCCAAGAACTATTGCCTTTTGCCAAATCCAAAAAGGACTGGGGCAGTGATTTAAGACTCTGCTTTGCTGCTGACAAAAAGAATCAATATCCTCAATAATTAAAACTTCCATGTCACATGACAGAAATAAGTGGAAGGAATTGATTCCCATAACAAAAGACACATTTGGCACCTGTTTATGTTGTGGAAAGTCTTAATGCAACTTTTTTGGAATGGAGAACCTTATCAGCTCCAACTCTGGGCAAGTGGTAACTCTGATGTACATTCATATGGGTGTTAATCTAAGGTGTGTAACCTGCCAAAAGACTGGTGAGTTTATAAGCTACAATGTCTACACAGAATGGAAATGCAAGCATACATTATTGTGGCTTCAAATGTAGTATTTTGACATAATTAGAACCTTGCAAAAGTCCATTATGGTCCAATAAGAAGTTCCCAACTTGGGTGAGTGGGCATAGATACCTTATAGGAGTCAAGTGCATTTTCCATTCAGTGGAAACAAGCCTATGTGATCTTGACCTCATTGAGTGACAAGCTGGATTGCTTGCTGGGGGATAAATGGGATGAAAAGGTTAAGTGATTGTTTTACGTTTTATCTATAAATGAACTTAAGAAAAGAAATCGTGTGCAATTTCCAGATCAAAGAGTGTAAGAAATGGTGAACTTTTGAAGAATGGTTGATTGTTTCATAGATATGTCAGAATTTAGAAAATCTAAAATACTGAATGTATTCTCGATAGAAAAATTGGCACAGTCACACTGTAATTCAGTGGCATCCCTTACACCTTCATGGTTTGCTTACATCAAATATGGAAAACACCCTGAAAACAATTACTAGTCCTGCATTTGAAATTGTTCTAGCACAATCCAATCATTGGGGTCTAGGCAAAATGTAACAGTCGAGGTGTCAAATGTTTCTTCTGGTGTATATCCACTCGGTGGAAAAATATCCAGCAGTAGAATGAAAAACAAAGTCCTAAATATGGGCTGCATCTGGAAGAGCACATTGATTTGTGTGAACTGAAGTAAAGTATTGGGGGTACAAGCCTGTCCCAGGCAATGATGAGATAAGTGAAGGGAATTACACAGTCAAGCTAATATTGATAGGGCATATCAATATCAAATCATTGAATCCAGTGATGGTGTGCTTGCAATATATTAGTATTGCTTTAAATTGCATTGCTCAATAACTCCTTGGCTGTATAGTGGTATAGGTTTATATAATCAAATATAATTTTTGCTTTGAAAATCATTTCAATTTGTTATCACCAAATGTTTGTTTCTAATCTTCACTAGAAGACCAGCTCTTGGGTTAACACTTTTACGTCATAGCTACTCTGAAATCTTGTTCAGTTTTTGAATGCTGTAGATTTTGATTGAAGTGAATGGTAACTATTTTAAAGATGGAACAGTTCAAATGCTGCAATAAAGGGCATTGACCACTCCCAATTAGGTACATGAAGTTCTACTCTGTCCAAGAAAATACTCTTAGGTCAGGTGTAGTATGGTTTAGATCCTTAGCCCCTTCTTTTGTACCTTAAGGAAACATAGACTTGTGAGTAACCATGTCTACAGGGATAAACTTTGTTTCTGTCTGATGAACTTGAATAAGTTCAGAACTGATCTGATGGGTTACTGAGTGAGTCTCAAGTGCACTACTTGCTCACTGTACAGACAATCTTATGTTTAATATTTTCTTAAGCAAACCTTACTCCAACAAACATCGATCCAGAATTCAAACTACTGACTATTGCCTGACATTTCCCAGTAATCTGCTCCGTTAATTGTGAGCCCTTTTGCTTGGTGAAGCTGTGTATGTAATACATGACATTTGGAGCTACATAAAGCATCAAGGCACTGAGTCCTTGTTGCAGTCTCTTGTCAAGTTCCTTTTCTTAATGTAAGAGCTTATTGACTTGTTCTTTAGCTTTCTTAATTTGATCAGTTTATAGGTACATTGTATGCATTGGGTAAGACAGATCCCTGGACTGTGCAACTTGATGTGATGGTGTGCTCCAATTAGCCTTGCTCCTGCTGGTTGAGGAAGGAACAGATCCACTAGAGTTACAGCTGACTGCTCGGATGTCACGTAAGGACAAGACCGTACTTGGCTGCAGTGTTTCCTTCAGATGATCCAGCTCATTCAAAGAAATGTTGCTTTGTTGAATATTGGTTTCAAGTCCAGGTGGAAGTTGGAGGAAAGGAGGGGAAGCAAAATTTCATTCACCCTCCAATATATTCTATTGATAACACACTGAGTGTGGGATTGACAGATGTAATTTGTTATGAGCTAGGTGATGATGGTACCTTGCTCTTTATAACCACTTCAGACGTAAATCATCATTCAACAAATATTGAACATCTAACCTTAACGACTCAGCCATGATGGACGATTCAATCTGCTGTCTCAATGAATTCAGTATTCATGAGAAATGAAACTGTTCATTTATATCACATAATTGATTGTTTAATAATCTATCTGTCAAATAACTTGGGAGAGAAGGTCTTTCATGAAGTGTGTGTTTAGGGATCTTCACTTCTAATTTAGTTTTATATTAATAACTGTATGTAATGTGATTGTATGGTTCAAAAGTTCAAACAATATTTTACTTTTAGTCTTTGATCCTCTGCCATGCTTCTTGTATAATTTGGCTTTCTTTTATCTGATGATGAGTGCGGGTATAATGATATACGTTACTGTCTGTCCCATGCTGTCAGATTTTTTCATTGCAGTATTAGCTTTGACACATCTCATCAAGATCTGCTGTAAAATGGTACATTGTATTCTGGTGTGGCTCAGTGTAACATTGTGACTTTTCATTTTGGACGGGGTAGATGAAGAAGAGGCAGTTGTTCTGAAGGCTAATTGGTGGTGTTGATCCTGATGCAGGCTGCTTTCATGTGGTTTGTAATGCTGACTAAACACCAGGGGCTGGGAATACTGCTTGGTGTCAACCATGTGTGAACAAGAGATAAGGAAATAGCTTCCCAAACAATGAATTATCTTTCTAAAAGAAACTGTAATTTCTGGTCATCTATCATCATTAGATAGAAAAGATTTATGTTTTGGGGTGTTCGAACTGGAAAGATCTATCTGACCTGCAGCCTGCTTCCAGTGATTCCAGTTTCGACTTTCTTTTACAAAATGCTACTTAATGCCATTGGACTGCTCTTTTAAAAATGATTTTGAATCATGTTTACAAAAATAAAGCTTTGGAAAAAATCCTATCTGTCCTTTGGTAAGGCTTCATTAAAGAACTTTCATTTCAAAGTTAAAGTCTCAACGAATGTCTTGCTGAAAGTTTGCCCATTGGAATGCAGTGAACTGTAGTGTAAATAGACAGGACATAGATCAGCACCTGTGCCTCTCCACGCATTGAATTCCTGATTTTACTTATTGTTACTTGAGGTCCTGCTGCTTTAGACTGGAAGAAAACAAAATTCTGGGTGAATTGTTCAGTTAAATTCTCCTATTTTCACGTGGCTCTTTCACGTACTGTTGAAGTTCTGGCTGTTTCCCAACTAATACTGTTTGTCATAATTTTTGTCATAGCACTAGTTTCTGGAAGCAAATCCTTAATGCCTATCAGCAAACTTGCTGTTTAATGTATGCATTGATGCAATAGTGTTCTGGAAGGCTAATTGTTATTTTTACCAAGGAATGGTGCACCAATGATACTGCT